CGGCACTTGGAGTGATTTGTAACGTTGACAGCAGAAGGCAGTGGCTGACATCCCCATGTTTGATGCATATATTTATGGTATATTCTGGCTGATACATGGGGAACCCCCCAAATCCAGAGTCGAAAAAAATTCGTGCCCCCGTTGGGGCGCAACGGTCGCTGACCTCTAAAAAAAGGGAGTCTTTCATGGGATCAGGTTGCTTCGGGACGGTCCGAGACTGGAGACGGTGGCACCGCCGTGTTTCATCAGTTGTGGAGAGACCACAGCGATGTGCTCGCAAATGTCTATAGAAATGCCATTCGACTGGATGCGTCTGATCCTTGCCATTCCGAATCATTAAGACCAATTATCACTAGAATCGCGGTGCGATTCTTTTTTTTTGCATTTGGCATCATTTGGCAACATAATTGGGGCCACAGGTCTTGTTCCGCAGCAACTTTTGCCAAAAACTGGGGCCTGAGAATTGAATCTTCTTCCGTGGTGCAGCCTGCACCTCAAGTACAGTTGGACACCCAAAAATCGACCCATCCAACTCGGATTTGCCTAGCAGCCACAGAAGACGAGGTCCTACAATACAAGCACATCGGTCGAAGATGTGGTGGTTAGGTTCAGTCGGTTTGATTCGACATGGATCTAGAGTCTAGAGGATCTACAGATATTGAACCGACTGAGAATTGGCATAGCTGGCCATGTTGCTATCAACCAGCCCAGAAAAAGGCAGAAAAAAGGGGATTAACCGATTAACCTCTGTGGTTTTTAAAATGGTCTTCATGGACTTGAAATTGGTCAAATCGGCCAATGGGTTTCCCTGCCACCATCCTGGGTTCAAGATGATGTGGACATCAGCAAATGAGGGATTTTCATGGATTTTCACTTTTCCATATTCGCTTGCATTTCCATTTGAACAAACTATAGATGCATTTCCTGGATTTTTGCTGCTCAAGTTCAAAATCCAATCCTGAATCCCCACAAATCATCACAAACATGCTGTGCCCTCATTAGTATATGGTACCCTTCAGATTCTCTACCACTACATACTCCGATATTTAAACAGTTTGGTTTTTGCCGAAACTCCATGTGGGGTCCCGAAGTGGGCCCCATTTTCAGTCCCAAGATGGGAAGGTGTCTCCGGATGAGTGGTTTAACCGCCAATGTCAACCCCGGATTCACTTGTACAGCCACGAAAATCAATAGGTGGGATCCTCAGCTCAATAGGATAGTGGTACTCCTACACCCCCTTTTTCCAAAACCAGGGGTTTATTCTACCATAAAGAAAACCTGATGATGATTGATGATGTTTTCAGCCAGCGAAAAGACGGTGCTTTCCGGTGTAGGGCCTCGCTGCAATAGCTCTGGTGGCTGGCAGGGCGAAGGATGGGAACATCAAAGATCAGCAGAAAGCAAGGCAACTTTATATAGATACATTTAGACATTCTGAGAGGAAACTATATGGAACTTTGTGAATCTTTCTGATGATTTTCCTATATATTTATACCACATATTCTGGATCTAGTTCTGCCAGTTCAACGTCTCTTATTCAGGACGATCCATGAAAACGAGTCAGGCAGTAAGCGGACAACATTCCCTAGCCATCAAGAAGTGAGTGGTACCCATTTATCTATCTATCTATATATATAATTATATATATATATCCATCATACAAACATATGTATGTATATATATATATACACCTGTCTAGTAAGTTCTGGGATCCTCCCAGTATGTGGATGATCGGTGGTAAATTCATCGTTCAGAAGCTGTAAAAATCAGGGCTATGAGGCCAGCTTAAAATCCGAAAGACGTGGCTCCAATGGAGAATCTGAATATCGTAGCTGAATCCTCTGAGTTTTCAGGTCTCATCCTTTCAAAGTCCCTTCCACATTCCCCAGCGATCTGTGGCATGGCCGCCCAGCCCTCCTCACATTTGGATTCTGAGGGTCATCCGGCTGGGGTTGGGCCAGTTTCGTTCCAATGGGCTTTCAATGGCCGCGGATCAGCGTCCTGCAGACTGGAGATGCCAGTGAGCCCAGTGCCCATTCGAAAGCGATTGGGAGGGTCAGCGTGCCCGGCATGGTGTGGCTATGAAAAGATATGATTGGTAGATGGATGTAGATGGTTTAACCCCATTTTGTGGAGCTCGGGTGGAATTTCCACTAAAAATCTTCCCCGAGTCAGCCTCGTTGTATTTTCAAACACGCCAGAACCTGGGCGCGTGACCGGTACAGAGCCAAGTGCAATGACGTGCTGCGGATTGCGTGATCTCACTGTCCCAGCCCGTTTGGGAAGTGACCTACTCCAAGATGAGTTTATTATCATGTCTATGAATAGTCACTATTTTCACAGAGATGTCAGAGCAAAGAGTCAAAGTAGATAGATTTGAGATTTGAATTTGTTTGTTTCAATACTTTCAATGACTCGTGGCCATTGACTCACGACTCACTTTACATCATCAATCCGCAGCAGCAACGTCCGCAAGGGAGGCAGCCAGTTTTCCGAATTGGTTGGCGCCTGGACGAGGGGAGGTCTTCCCCACGGTTGTGGTACTGTGCCAACAGTCTCAGCCGACGAATCGCGACTGGAAGGGGATGTGATGATGTGCGACCCGCGCATCACTGCATCAGAAACGATCTGGGTACCCCGCATCACCCCGCCATGGATCAAGCATCTTCTCAAGTCATTCCAAATTCCAAATGTTAGCATCTTCAGATATTAGCCTTTCCATCACTGATTCACCCCTTGGCGCGGCGCCCGTAGCAAGGGCATGTAAGGGCTAGAGTTGTGCGATCAGAGCCGCAAGAGTTTAAATCGGTTTAAGCGGCGCCTGGTTTTCACTGTCTCAGCGATGCTCACGAGTCTCTGCTTTTGAGCAGAAGCCGTAAACCCAGGGGACGAGATGCGGAACTGCACTGCACCGATGGTGTTTTGCATGTCTTGGCGATGTCTTTGCAAAGTCACTAGAGTCACTAGAGTCACTACAGCTCTACGTGTAACAGAACTCCTTTCAAGAATGAACCATCAGGCTTTATCCACAAATGATGGGTGTTTGATGGTTCAAGGATGGGCATCGCAGCGAAGACCATCCAGACCAACCGTTCAGGGGATTGATCATCCCCTATAGACTGGGATCGTTTGTCTTTAGTTTACCTCGTTAAGGTATGTTGAGGTCAGATATTAAAGATATGATAAGTTCACCATAGTTCACTACTACCGAAGTATAGAAAAGATTTTGATAAAATGGCTTGCACTCAGCCGCCATATCCTACAATATATCTAGGCTATAACCATGGCTGGTAGCTGTAATGGTTACCAGCTACCATGTTGGGTACACCTTTAAAAGACCGACCGTGACCATGTTCCGCATGACGCCCCACGCACCTCCTGTGGAGAGTTCGTTTTGGAAATGTGATTTTTGCGCCGGTAGGTCGATGTTTGACCCATCAGCCGGCAGTTTACCCCTAGAAAAAACGCAAAAAACGTCCATGAAAAATCGAGATGAGTGTTGCACAATGCACGAAAATCACATCTATAATACATTTAGCAGATTTAGCAGGCTAAAATGATCTATATAAATGTATAAACACAGGTATCGAAGGCCTAGATTTCTGAACAGTCTTTGGACACATCTGAGACAATTTCAACCGATATTGCTGGCCACCCTGTAAATGGTGAGTTGGAGTATCATCATCCCAGATGGACACCTCCAAACAGTGGAAAACAACAAGGAAAGTGGATGAAAATGCCACCTTCGATCTGATCATAGACGGATTCTGACCATTTTCATCGCTCTGCTCCCAATTCTTTTTATAAGCAAACCATCTAAAATCATCTGGGTGTGTCTGTAAACCGTACTTATCGCACCCTATCTCACACCAAACCTTATCTCACATATCTTGTTGTCCAACATAATTACAGAGGTTTCCTGAAACATTTCCGAACAATTCTATGATGACAACTTATACAAATCTAGGAATTGGTATATAGGTAGACTAGGTAGACCCAACCATATGCAAATTTAAGGGAGAACCATTCAACCATTCTCCAAATATGTTTGTCAAGCGACCTAAGCCGGCTGCAGCGTTCCACCCAGTAACCCCCATGGCGTCAGAGAAAAGAAGCAGCAAAGTTTGCATGTCTACGATCATATATTAGCTGTAATATTAGTAATATCCCAAAATGAAATATTCTTTGGGTGTGAAAAAATTAGGATCTTTTCGGGCTTGTGCAAAAATGGTAGATTTATCAAACTTCGTTGCCATTGCAGAGGAGCTCGTATAACTTCGCCGTTGATATAACAGGACTACCCCAGTTTTGGAGGGTTGGGCCCGGAAAAGACAAAGACACATTTTCAGAATTTTCAGACACACCCCACATGGGTTCCCCAGGTTATGGCTATGAATTGGGGTATCATTTTTGGATAAGCTCATTCATGATATATATATATATAGATCTGTTTGGGCAGCGTTCAAAACCATGGAATGACATTTCGGGTTTGGAACATTGCTGATGGGAGCTGCCAGGTAACAGCCAGCCAATTCGCTATCCCAGCAATACAAGAGGGTAGCAATGAATACATTAATTAGCATACACTAACATCAATATGTACCCTCCAGTCATCAAACATGGCGTGCTGGACAATTCCCCATTTAGTTTGATGAATTTCCCCAGCTATAAAATTATAAAGCTCCATTTAGTTGTTGTGATTTCCAATTGCAATGTTTTATTACCGGAGGGTATGTATATTAATGATTATATAATATATGATACATTGATCCATACACACAGGCGCACACACACACAGTATTTCCTACAAGGTGGTGCCCAGGTATGTTTGTTGGTTTCTACACCATAGTAAATAGTTCGATATATCTACCATAAAGCTTAGTTCATGGAGTTATGTTCACCAAATTAGCTAACGAACTGGGGCAGAACATGTCGAATATCAAACTGATGACATGGCTCGGACCTTTCGTTGGTGGCCGTGGTGGCCCTTCGGAAGTCAGGTACAAATGATGGCACCACCTCCCCTGATTCCAGCAGGCGGCGTGACGGGCTGTGCGATTTTTTCTACTGGCATTTTGGGAGATGATGGAATTAGCCTCTGCTTATGACTAACATAGCCATGGTATAGATGGCCCATAGAAATAGATGGTTTACCTGGGTTTACCTATTAATAGCATGGTGATTTTCCATGGCAAACTGTTAGTCATAACCAGATGGTAGCGTCAACGACCTTCCATCGACCTTCTGGTAATCAGCACGGCTTCCTGGAAGATCCACGAGTTCGATGACCTTCCCCAAGGGTCCCCGCCCTAAAACTGGGATTTGCGCAGGAGCAGCCCTTCAGATGGCCCCGAAGGTGCGACCGACCTATGGTGTTTAGCATGGAACAGCCAACAGATGCAAGGTATGTACCTAAGATTGGCCATGTGACCTGGCAGAACAAGAGAAATGCATGTTTTTAAAAACGTGGCTTTTGTATGCTTTTGTCACCAGTTCCTGATATTTGGTGCAATATTATTCATGAGGATGTTGGTGGGGACACTGGTGTCAATGTTGTAGTTGTCGATGTTGTTCTTATATATTGTTGCTGTTGTTGTTGTTGTTGCTGTTGTTGCTGTTGCTGACAATAATGAGCATGGTGACTGTCGATCGACGGGGACGATGGCAATGATGATTGATAAATCAGATTAATAAGATGTTCTTTCTGATTTTCTTCGTGGCTTCTAACATGTTTGATAAATCGTAGATAGCCATTGGGAGCGCTGGGTCAGCTTTTGGCTACGAGCCCAGCAAAAAGGCATGCAATTGCTGACTTCGAGACAAGTGTCATCTCGATGCCACTGCAAACTCTCGACCCACTTATCCAACCGAAACCGGGGAAGAAAAAACACATGCCCACGCTGCCCACGCTTCACTTGTTGCTTACCCACTATTTTCCTCAGCTTTGCTTACTTTTCGGTTTTACTTCGATTTACTCGACTGGAAGCCATTCTCACGTTTCGGGGGAGCCAACCTCAACACAACGCCACTGCGAAATCTGGTTGCTCCAGAAATCATGGGATGATCCTTCGCCATGTTTGCGCCGGTCCAGACCGGCGCGGCTGGTTTTCTTTCACCCGGCGCAGCTGGTGCTGTCGCCAGCACGGCGGGGCGGAGGGGCCTGTGGCAAAGTGTCTTGGTGCAGTGGGTCATGCGGCAAAGCTTGCCGGGTAGAAAAGTTGGCATCAGTTCAAGGCTCCAATACAGTAGTATTACAATAGTTTTTTTTGAGGTGTCAAGAGTTTGCTTCAAGACTCTCGTAATTTTTCTGGGTTGTGGGAAGTCAGATGCCCACCCGTCAGTGTGATGAAGGGAATGTGGCTGGAATGTCGTTTGGGAAAGGTAAGGACTTCAGAGCTACTGAGGGGTATATCAGGGGTATATCACTGAGCAGCAAATCTGACTAAATACATCTAAATACGAATATGATCGAATATGGCTTCGTCTGAAAATGGGGATACATGGGGATACCCTTTTCATTGGCCATTTCATAGGTGAAGAAACATGGAATCACCCCCAATCCGCGAGATTTCTGCAGATTCCTTAGCTGACTCGAGCATGATTCCAGGCAACTACAGACCTCCCACAGCTTTCGCTGTCGTGGCGCTCCGTCCGGGAATGGATGTCGTGAAGTGGTGGGTACCAAGCTGGTTGTATCATGTTGTACCCTTCCCCAATATAAAGCACCCCCCAGGTTTGCCATGGTGGATGTAGGGGATGATTCTTCATATATTTGTGACCGTAGGATGGGGGGGTGGTTAATGTTTGAGGGATGGGAGTCTTGTTTTGTTTTTGTTTTTTTCCCCTTCCTGTGATTCTCAACGTTATTGGGATCATGATCCCAACTGGCAGAGCAGGGACCGAATCTAAGCTGCACTGCTGCTGCCTAGTTGTTACTTGAAGACTTGAGCCTTGCTGCGGTGGCACATTTGTTTTTTTTCCGACATAGGTAGGGCTGACTGAGAAGGTATGCAACTGTTTGGCCTTGAAACCCAATTCTGAAGTGTGTATTACTTCAATTTCTGTCATTTGTCATTCTCATTTTCATTCATTTCAATTCTGAAATGTGTTTCAACTGCTTCATTTTTGTTTTCTTCATTGTAACATGGGCGTTGAACTGGTTCCTACATCTCAAGTTGGTGAATTATTCATCCATTTAGCTCCACTTATCAATGAGTTATCCAGATCAATGGATGTTTTTTTCCATATTTTTCCATCTGTTTTTTCAGATCAATGGATGGTTTTACCATATTTTCGCATGCATATTCCAGATCAATGGATCACTTTTCCGAGATTTCCTGAGATTTTCCATCTATTTCTCCGGGATCAATGGATCAAATCAACTTCTTTCCTGATCCGTGGTGTCTTTCGCTGGGGATCCCTGAGGTGGCCCTTTTTCCGCTGCACGCAGCCCGGCGGAAGGCGGTGGGGTATCCATATTCCCCAGAAACGGATGAGTCGGAGCTAATAGAGTTTTCCCGGTGAAAATAGACGCTTCCCTGAAAATTCAACGACCTAGATGATATAGGCAATTTTAAAGGCAGATAGTTGACCAAACTGGCCCCTAAAGTCCTAAAGGAACAAAATTGGTGGCATTGTCTTTGGATGTTCTTCTTCGGCTAAAAATGATAGAGGTCTCAGCGAAGAGGGTAAGCCACCTGGTCCTATACACTGGTATATCTTAATAAGACGATATGCATAATATATTATATATGCATGAGATTGCATGATAATTTCTACATAGAATCAGAATATATGCATGAGATTGCATGAGAATTTCTACATACCTAGAATCAGAATGAAGAAATACCGTAGAATCAGATTGTCTACGGAGAGTCCCCCCAATCATGGATAATTCGAAGTCTGAATGGTACTGTACCCTGCAGGCCCTGCAGGCCCTCATAGGGGGGTTGTGAATCCTGGATTGACACAGAAACCCATGCCATAACCGAAAAAAATGGAAGATGGTCAAGAAAACAACCCTTTCTGGTAAAGCATTGGTGATGGTATTTGGCATTAGGTTTACCACATCAATCATCGTCAATCCATTTTCATGGGGTTTTATACAATTTTATACACCATTATATTCTGATTCCATGACATGGGATGGATGACCATACCCCGTATTTGCCCATGTAACATGACGGTGGCAAATTGACTCATGCACCAGTTGGTAACTATTGGTAAATATGAACACATGTTTTAACCACTACAAAAAAAGGATTACAATGGGATAAATTTGATCAACGATCTACCAACCGGTGTTGGTACATATGTTAACCACTGTAATTAGATAGGATTATAATGAATTCTCATGGGATAAACATCCCGGCGGAAGGGAAACCGCGCGAGCGTTTTGATTGGTTGCTTCCAGGAGAGTCACAATCACCTGTAATTTACAATATAAAATGCTCTTCCGATCAGTTTGGATAACTGAATTTGGGTTAAAACAAGTGGATGCAAAATCTATTGATTTTTAACAAATCCAGGTAAACATCATGTGCATCAGACGTGGATGCGCAGATTTTTTTTCACACTCTTCGTCGGCTCAGCGATCCATCAGTGTGGAAGCTGTCTTAGACAGCAAGTTGCCATTATGGCACTCATAACGCCACTGCCAGCAACGCAGGTATAGCATGACATCTTTGTTCTGCCCTGCCTTTGTCTGCAAACCGAAAACCTATGCATCACTACCGCACCCAAACCCATACGCAGCGCAGCAACATGTAACGTAGTAAACGATCACAGAGATCTCAGCAGCGTAGCAACATGTAACGTAGTAAACGATCTCGGGGATACCAACCGCGTAGCAACCTGTAACGTAGTAAACGATCACAGAGATCTCAGCAGCGTAGCAACATGTCACGTAGTAAACGATCACAGAGATCTCAGCAGCGTAGCAACCTGTAACGTAGTAAACGATCACAGAGATCTCAGCAGCGTAGCAACATGTCACGTAGTAAACGATCCCAGAGATCTTAGCAACATGGCAATATATCATGTACGAAGTACAAGGAACGTTAACATGCCCCCCCACCCCACCCCACCCCAACCCCAAGACAAAGAGCAATACTCAAAAAAGAAGCAAAACGCACGTACGGTTTTCCTGCCGTAGGCATAAACATGGATAAACCATCTACCAACTGGTGATTTCTTCACATTTCTTCCGCACTGGCCATGGCGTTTCGAACGCAAACCTGCCATGGCAGGTTTCTGTCAGATCCCGCTCTACGGACCTTGAACGTCGATGGGACGCCTTAGAGTGCCCTGGTACGGATAACTGGGGCCCCAGGAAACCTTCAAATCAGACCAAAATGATGGTTTACCCTATTGAAAATGGCCATTTATAGTGAGTTTTCCCATTAAAAATGGTGATTTTCCATAGTTATGTTAGTTTACCAGAGGGTAGATAATATCTGATTGGTGGTTTGGAACATGGCTTTTATTTTTCCATGTCTTGGGAATTTCATCATCCCAACTGACGAACTCATATTTTTCAGAGGGGTTGAAACCACCAACCAGATATGTTTAGATCCAAAATGAATTCAAAATGATGGTTTAGATCGAAATTTGAGTTACGTTACTAACTGTTTGATCAGCCACAATGAGCCTGTTTGATGAATCGTTTGTGTGTCCTTTTTTTGTGGCCAACGAATGGTCTCCCGGGGAGACCCTGCAAAAAAGTATACCGGCACAGCTGGTTCATGGCCGTGGCACCAGAAAATCCACTGTAGATACCCTCTGGTAAACTAACATAGCTATTGAAAATGGCCATTTATAGTGGATTTACCCATTAAAAATAGTGATTTTCCATAGCTATGTTAGTTTACCAGAGGGTATCTGTAGATGATGTGAACCATGGTATTTACCATTGCAACATTTGACTGTCGGAGGGCAAACCTTCCATTTTTTCTTGGTATATTTATAGAATTTTATAGATCTATACTAATCTATAACAGAAAATATCATTTATCCCATTAAGATCCATATTTTGTCCCTATGAAATCCCTATTTATCTCGCATTAAATCACCATCTCCCCTGACATCATGGTGGCTTGTGGCTTGTTTCGCATCGCGACGAAATCACCCACTGGGCAGGTCCGAAATTCTGGAGACGGAAGCGGCCAAGGTGGCTTTGGATGGTTTTGGATTGTGGGATTCATACGATAAGATAAAGCCACTAATAAATATAGATTGGATATATATATTATATATATACTGTATATATATATATATTGATATATAGAGTTTCCCAATATCATCAATTATCCCTGATTATCTATGACATATATATATATATTGATAAATAGTATATAA